AAGGCTATACAACTGAGTATGCAGATCTGATGAAGAACTAAACAGAATCCTAGAAATAAAGTATGGGTATGAAATGAAGAAATCAGCGTATAGTACACCAGATGCAAAGATGTGGGGGCTGGGGGGGTGATAGATCAGAAGAAGCTCATAGTGAGACAAAGTCACAGAAATGGAATATATAAAGCAACCCAGATTATAGCTGACTACAGTGTTACATGTTAATGACAAAAACAGTTTGAACATAAAAGTTTAAAAAAAGGTAGCAACAAATAAACAATAAGCAGCTGGCATGGCTTTTTTAACAAAGGCAGTAGACCTCAAGAAAAACATTATTAGACACTGCAGAAAAAGGAGGATTATCAAATATAATGAACACTTCAAATGGTAAAGGGTTAATTCTCAAAGAAGACACGTTGACTCTGAATGTGTATGCACCTAAAAATGGACACAACGACAGAAGTCAGCACTCTTTTCTGAGGAATGGACATGATATGCAGTCAGAAAATCGGGAAGGATGCAGATGGCCTGAACAGCTGTTGGGTCAACTTGACCTAATGACTCTTTAACTCATTTTTAAAAAAATTTTTTTAGTTGTAGTTGGACACAATACCTTTGTTTTATTTATTTATACGCGGTGCTGAGGATCAAACCCAGGGCCTCGCATGTGCTAGGCGCGCTACAACCCCAGTCTGACTCTTAACTCTTAACTGAGAACACAGCCCACAAGAGCTAAGCAAACACCCCATAGTGTATGCACATAGTGCCATAAGGCAACCCATAACTATTTTTTGAAATAAATCAAACAAAGTATGTTCTTGGACTATGACAAAATTAACTAAAAATCAATAACATGTATCTAGAACATTTCCAAAGCCATATGAATGTGAATAAGCCACAGGTTGAATGGGAAATTATCGGGATATTATGAAAATAGTCTAAACTAAATGAAAATGAAAAGACAACTTGTCAAATTTTGTGGGATATAGTTAAAACAATGCTTACATGAAATTTTATTAGAAAAATACTCATATATTTGAAAAGAAAAAGACCTAAAATCAATATCCCAAATTATCATTTTTAAAAATTAGAAATGTTGGGCTTAGTAGTGCATGCCTATAACCCTAGCAACTCACAAGGCTGAGGCAGGATGATCACAAGTTTGAGGTCAGCTTCAGTAACTTAGCGTGGCCATGAGCAACTTAGTGAGACTCTGTCTCAAAATGAAAAAATACAAATTGCTAGAGGTGTTGCTCAGTGGTTGAGCACTTCTGAATTCAATCCCCAGTACCAAAGGAAAACAAACAAAAACTAGAAATGCTGGGTGTGGTGGTGCACACCTGTGACCCCAGCTACTAGAGAGGCTGAGGCAGGAGGATCACAAGTTCTTCGCCAGCATCAGCAACTTAGTAAGATCATATAACCTAATGTAAAAAAAAAAATCAAAATATTTAAAAGGATGGGGATGTAGCTCAATGGTAGAATACAGAACATTTGCACAGCATGCATGAAGCCCTGGGTTCAATCACTAGTACTGCAAAATATCAATCAATCGGGGACTGGAAGAATAGATCAGTGGTAAAGGATATGCTTAGCATGCATGAAGCCCAGGTTTTTATCCCCAGCACCACACACCTATGCACACATACACAAGGAATGTAAACCAAGGGATATAATGGAAATTTCATAACCTAATAAATGATATCTATGGAAAACATACAACTAATAACATATTTTGATGGTGAGACAGAATGCTTCCCCTATAAGGATCAGAAGACAACAGGAAAGGCATCTTGTACTATTCCTATTCAAACTCTGTACTGGAGCCTTAGCTAGTCCAGTATGGAAAAAGAAGCAGAAGGTAAAAAATAAATAAATAAATAAATAAAATAAAATAAAACCCTATTCATAGATGACACATTTGTCCATGTATAAAATGCCAAAAAAAAAAAAAAAATCTGTCATGCGTATACGCACTATCTCCTAGAACGGACTAGTGAACTCTGCTGGAAAACAAGAGGCCATTTCACCTGAGCTAGTGGTTTCCTGCACGCCATCAGTGAACAATGGGAACAGAACAGGTCTTATAGGGCCATTTATATCAGCCCCCAAACACAGTCAGGTACCAATATACAGAGAAGGCAACACAGTAACAGTATCTGTGTGTTACTAACTGGTGACAAGAGAAATCAAAGAACATGATATCATGGACAGACACACATTCCATGCTTGGAGATGGAGTGTGGCCGGGTCTTCACTTCTCCCTGAAAATGCCACGGATTTCACACAAAGTAGCAAGTGTTAGCTCAGCGGCAGAGCGCTTGCCTGGCACGTGGGAGGCCGTAGGTTCAATCCTCAGCACCACATTAAAAAAAAAAAAAAAAAAAGAATAAGTAAATAAAATAAAATGTTTGTTTGTTTAAAGTAGCAAGTGGCTCTGCAGGCATTAGCAAGTTGATCCTAATATGCACTTGGAAAGACAAAGGTACTGGATGGCCACATCTGGACAAAGCACTGCACTACAGGACTCCACTTGGTTTTAAGACTCCCCATGGAGCCAGGGTAATTAGGACAGGTGGTAGTGGTAAGGGATAGATGCAAACAGGCCACTGGAACAGAACAGAACCCAGAGATAACCTCACAAACATGCTCTGCTCCAGAGTCCATTCAACAAATGATGCCAGAGCAACTGTGTACCCATGAGCAAAGGAATGAACCTCCACATAGAACTTATGCTTTATGTAAGAACTTATTCAAAGTGCACTGCTGCAATCCCAGCAACCGAGAGGCTGAGGCAGGAGCACTGCAAGTTCAAAGCCAGTCTCAGCAACTTAGCAAGGCCCCGTTTCAAAATTATGAGAAGGAAGTGAGCAAAAGAAGGACTGGACATAGTTGAGTGGTAGAACACCTGCCTAACATGTGCTAGGCCATGGGTTCTGTCCTCATCACTGCAAAACAGGACAAAACAATGAGCAAAAGATCTTCACCAAAAAAGACTGGATGGAAAATAAACACATGAAAAGATGTTTGATGTCATTTGCCAAGGGAAAAATGCAAACTAAAATCATAGTAAGATACTTCTATGTATATAACAAAAGACAAAATGTCACAAAACTGATGGATGCTGGTGAGGATGTGAGCAACAGCAATTTCCACTTGCTATGGTCAGAGTGTAAGATGCACAGCAACCTTGGAAACATGTGGAGACTTTGGCGGCAGCTTATAGAGCTGAACACACTTGCCAGAAAACCCAAAATTCCCACTCCTGGGTATTGACCCAGGTGAACAGAACACTCACGGTCAAACCTACATGCAGAAGAATGCATTATTCCTAAATGCTAGCAGGTGCCAGCAACCACAGTGCCCTTCAACAAGCAGATGCTCAAACAGCTGGTGCATCACATAGGCAGACACTGTCCAAGGACAGCACTTGGTGCTAAGGGGCACACCAGCCAGTCCTAAGTCCATGACTGAAGAAGCATTATTGAATGGCTACGTGCTGTTTCTATGTTTTATTTCTTTTAAGAGGGTTCTTGCTATGCTTCCCAGGCTGGTCTTGAACTTGTGGGCAGAAGTGATCCTCCCACCTCAACCTCCCAAGTAGCTAGGACTACAGGCATGCTCCCCCATGCCCAGCTGATTTACATACTTTCAATTCCATTCGCGTGACATTCTGGAAAAGGAAAAACTATGCCATGAACCAGACTGTATACAACAGACAGACCAACTGACTCAAGACTGAGGAGTACACAAAGATGAGGGGTGCCTTCTGGTAAAGGGACAGCACAGGGGCCTCCTGTTCAGGGCTCCTCTGCAGTGGCATGATTTGGCTCCATACCTGTTGCATGGACCCGACCTAACTGGCATGCCATCTCAGGGGAAGGGGCACTTGCTTGGGCTCCTGCCTGTACCATCTCAGAGGTAAGGGATGGTGCTGCCCTTGCTCTCTGGGAGGCTTGTGGCTTTCCCTGAAGACTCTGATGCTTCGCAGCTCAACTAGACCAGCTCAGCTGAGCTCCCAGCATACAAGTGAACTTCAAAACTAAGAAAACATGAAACTTTTTGCATATTTATTTGAACAACAAAATTCTTAAGAAAAATTAAGAAAATAAGGAAGAAAAAGAATGAAAGGGAGAGATAAACAAGGTGGTCAAGAACTCCTTTTCCATGAATTAGAGCACAGATACAGCTGGAGGCAGATGCCTGTATGCGCACCTTTGCCAACAGAAGCACAAACATTTTAACCTAAACTATCAAAATTCCAACTGAGAGGACTTATGGGGACCCGGTCAACTCTACCGGGTCCCCATAAGTGACTTAGTGTCCTTCCTGAAACTAGCATCTAGGTAGGATGTGTCCCTGCTTTAGTCTCTGAGGAATGGTGTTCTGTGTTCTTTAGGTTCATTCCCTTAGTTTACACTGAGGAATTTTAAGGAGCTATCCTAGAGCACATGCTATGATGGGTGCCATCCACTAAGCCACTTATCTCAAGAGCCATCACTGCTTCCTCTTGTGTTGCCATCAAGAAATGTGCACTTCTCTCAAACACTTGGTCTGCCTTTTCCTTCCTATGGAGGACACTGTCACTTCTAGTTCTTTTTCTGCTGTAGGCTTTGGGAATGTCTGAGAAAAGCCTGCTGCTCACCTTTGTGACAATGGAGGAACCCGTGTCTTCTTTACCTATCTTCCAACTTTAGGCTTCTGTATGGCTCTATATATTTAATAAATATAAAATTTGTGCTACTTTTGACATCTTCTTTCCCAAGTTTATCATTTATCTTTGATTATGACTTAAATGTATTTAGACCTTTCCTGTTTGTTATAAAGTCTCCTGTATACCTCATCACATCCACAGGGGGGGGAAAAAACTACTAAAGATAAACAAATAACTCACCTGTGACTCAATCATTTTCTGCTGCTCTCAGGAAACCTGTTGTTTTTGACTTCTGTCTGTTCTGACTCTGGAGAGAGGCCTCTAGTGAAAGATCTGGAAACCAAGACTATATTCTCATTCTTGAGAATCTCACATGAATTCTCTGCTTATCTCACATGAATAGTTTGTTTCTGAGAGCAATGGTCTGTGAATGCAACAGAAATGTCATTTTAGATGAGATCACTGGTCTGGGGACCTAAATCTTAGTTTTTTCTTTCTGGGAACTCAGTCTTGTAAAACCTCAGACTAGATGTTTGGTGGACACAATCAGGGCTGTGGGCTAAGAAATGGGAGGGAGCCTTGGCTTCTGGCATATCTTCTGTACCTGGCCTGCATCTGGGGCACGTCTCTACCACACTGCAGTAACAACCCCAGTGCCTTCCAGGAAGTGCTAGAATGAAGCTGCTCACCTCCTTGGTCCAAGCAAACACCCCCCACAGAAGCAGCACTATGGAAAACTGCTCTGAAGAGACATGAAGGGATTGTGGAAATGCAATGATGATGACTCACTCCTTCTGCAGCAATGTTTCCTGGGGCAGGAATGAATTCATTAATTTAAGTGAAATTATTTGCCTAGATGTTATAAGGCAAAATGCAACTCTTTTGTAGACAGGCAGAATGGTACTCAGGAAGTGACTATTAGATTAAGATGAGGGGCTAGGGATGTAGCTCAGTAGTAGAGTGCTTCCCCACCATGCATGAGGCCTGGGTCAATCCCCATTACTGTAAAACAAACACAAAAAACAACCAATAAAAAAAAAACAGTTTATAAAAGACCACAAGGTACACATCATATCATTTTAGGCAGAATTACAGAAAAATACAGAACAAGATTTAAAATAAGTACAATAAACTAAACAAACACATCCCACATCCTGATGCACACAAACAGAATTTAAGTTTCTTCACGGCCATAGACCAGGTCACTTATGTTCAACCAGATGTAGAATCAGAACCAAAGACTTCAAGGGCTCAGGGTTGTGCAGGAAAATCACTTTCTTCATAAGAGTAATCTTTAAAGGAAATGTTAAAAAAAACCCTACCCCATAAATTCTGGGACAAGAGGGATAGAACCCTACCTCACACAACAAAACTGCTCACCAAAACTGTCCAGCACTTGCAGTCAACACCTGCTGTGTACTCGGGTGCTCCAGGCATGATGGTGTCCATCCCCAAAGTTCCTTTGTGGAAGCAGGCCATAGCAAGCCCACGCTCAGTCTCCATGGCAAGAAGCCTAAAGCCTAGCATGGATGACCAAATGTGGTCAAGGAGTAAGAAGGCTCTTTCCAGAAAACAGGTGAAACTGAGCAAGAAGACGTACAGCATGGGCTCTCTGTCCTGTGTCTCAAATAATACCAAAGGCTGCTGAGGAATGCTGTGGGAAGACCATATCAACCAAGGTCCTCATGCAGAGGGCTGAAGTTGGACATAGCCAGGGACAGAACAGACTATGGGTTATAACTAGCAAGGCGGAAGTTATAGAAGGCAAGACCCTGAAGCCAGGGGGGTCGCTGAAAACTTTTAAAAAGGAAACACTCAAGTAAAAGTAGTTCCTGACCAACAATCACAAGCTACAATGAGAGGCCAGAATACAAAAAATGAGTATGATTATTTAACAGAAGTTACCTGTGAGAGGCTTGTCTGGGCCCACACATGACCAACACCCATTCAGCCCTGCCTCCAGTCCCACAAACATGGGACCCCCACACATCCCTCCCTTAGTGACCACCTAAGAATCCTCCAGCTCCACATCCCAAGACCTCTGCAGATCACAAAACCCAACAGGCCCCTCTGTAAACCTCCATATCACACAACCACTGAACCCCATAAATTCCACTATCACTTGCCCCAGTATCCCCCTCACCCCCACAGAATCTCAATTACCAATTGCACAGCCCCATATTCTCTTCTCAACAGGTCACCCTTCTAGGGCCTTCAGTGACATGCACTGTAGGTTCCTTAGTGACTCTCAGTGGCCTTTTGATAGCTAGTATCTACAATCCTCAACCACTGACCTCAGACTGGCACAGGATTGGCACTGTGTGCCAGGATGACCAGAGATCATGTGGCTCCCTGCCAATGGCAAACAAGCCAGAAAGCTCCAGTTTCCCTCTCATCAACACCCACAGGCCCAACTTCTCCCCCCTCACCCCTCACTCCATGCCTATCACAGACACCTACAGGCATACTAGTCATTCACCCCAACAGGCCCACCCAAACATGAAACCTCATTCATGAGTCACCTGTCAGGTACCAGTCATCTGCGGCCTCCTTGGCTCAAGCTCCTCAGCACTCAACTCCAACCCCCTCAAGTAACAATGCCAATCCATGTAGGGCATAAATCAATGGGACCCAGAGTTTCTCCACACCCCCACCAATGATGACATGCTCAGGACTGGAACTTCAATCAGAGTACCCACACCCTCACTCACTTGCCCTGGTGTTGGCCATTCCCTTATTTTTTATTTTTATTTTTTGTGGAACTGGGAATTGAGCCCAAGGGTACTCTGTCACTGAGCTATATCCCTAGCCTCCTCCTTTCTTTTGCTAAGTTGCTCAGGCTGGCACTGAACTTGTATCCTCCTGCCTCAGCCTCTCAAGCTGCTGGGACTATAGGAGTGTGCCACCACACCTGACTAGTGTGTCAGTAATTCCTAAGTCATACTGGGCTCTCAATCACTTGGTCCCATGGTTGCCACAGAGTCATCCCTATAGCACTGAGGCCCCAATCATAGGCTTACCCAGCCCTTCAACGACTTGTCCATTCACTGACTAAAACCAAGTCAGTGAAATCCCTGTGAGTCTCAGTAAGTCCCAAAGGACGCCAACCACTCTCTCCTCCAGTTTACTTGCCCTCACAGCTGCCCCAGTGTGTTCTCACAGAGCTTCTCATCACTGACATCCCCAGCCTTGCTATCTATCTTTCACTGCTGCTCCAGGTATTGAACCCCAAGGGACACCCAACCCCTTATCCCACAGGGTGCTCCTGCACATTCTCTAATTCATCCCATGTTTGCCCGCCATTCACCGGCAGACTTACAGGCTCTCCTTATGGCCACCCTGCACACAACTGATACTAAGCCGCTCCAACCACTCCAATTACTAGCCCCACTGTTCACTCACAACCCCCACCAAACCAACACTGACTTATATCTACACAGTGCCCCAATTTCTGATGCCTCCATCAAAAAATCCTCAAACACAGCCTAGAGAAGAAACTCAGCCACTCACTTCCCCTAAAACAGCAATCACTAGCAGATAAACAAATCCAGAGTAAGGAGACTTACCTCCCAGGGATTATTATGGGGTAGGAAAAGGGAAATGGGGGACTACAATAGGGAGGATGTGGGGCCCTCAGATCTACACTCATCTTTGCAAGGCAGAAAGCAGTTTCTTTCACAGAAAGAAGTAAAGAAAGTTAGAAAGAATCAGGTGAGGCAAAGTGGGATCAAAGAGTGGGGTGAACAGGATGCAAACCAGAGACTTTCTGCCTGCTGTGAGGAGAGGGCCAAATTTCATGGAACTGGAGGAAAGAACAGTCCATGTTTGGTAACCAGATTTTTTGTCCTGCCTGATCCATGGGGTTCACTAATCACTGCTGAGGCAAAGAATGAAAATGCAGAGGATCCGTGTCTGCCTTATCACAGGCAAACAAGGGCACTCTCGGGACTTACCAAGAACGTGTACAAAAGGAGCTTCTCTGCAGTGAGCCTTTTCCTGGAGATTTCTGAACCTCCGCTGTTTTCCAGGAGCACAGAGCTCAAGTAAAACCCAACGTCTTCACAACCAACAGGACTTCCAGTTAATGAAACACCCAAAACAGATACACCACAAAAGCATCCTTCCCAGCCTGCAAACGAATCACGGGCAACCAGAGTCTTAGTTAACCTACAAAGAAACCCGCTAGACACAGTCGCGGGTCTGCGGATGCACTGGGTCCCAGCACAAAGAACTGACGCCCAAGGGCTACCCAAAGAGTCTCCCACGAGTCTTCCGAGGGCCTTGAACACTCAGCCCTCAATCCCAGACTGCTGTTTTACAGACGCGCCCCTGCCCAACCCTCAGGTGTCTACAGGTTAACTATCCACACACATCCAACAGGCAGGTAAGCCAGAAACCGCGCCGGCCCCGCCCCGCCCCGGCC